TTCGCTGTTCATGTTTCGTTTAAAGTAAAAAAGTTACATGCGGAGATGATCTTGTGCTAGTTTAATACAGTAGAAGGAATAAAAAAGTTAAATTAAAATTGGTTTAGAATAGCTGGATCGTTTATGATAACTTCGTTAGTGATATACATTTATGATAAGTTCGTTAGTGATGTTGTTCGTTAATGATCGACTCTTAACGGTACAAACCAAAAATAATAGACCTACTGCGCATATGATCTTACGCAAGTGACCATTCGATGGGTCTTATGAATGGATATAGTAGTTAGTAGTCATTTGTAGTTAGCTAAAAAGTTAGTTCGGTAGGAGTTTGGCTATCATAAATGGTCCGAAAGGGTGTATCCACTTACTAAGGATGGGTGGAGCACGTAGTGCGAAACCCTCCTTAGTATTTCTACTTCTATATTGATTTATCAAGTAATTTATTTGAATCCCGATAAATTCATCAATAATTTGGGATTGTTAAAGAATCGTCATTGCTTAATATAATAATAATGTGGGAATTAGAAATTTATAATAGTTTAAAGTTCACACAGACCATATTAAGGTTGAACAAAAGCAGTATATTTTATCATATTATAATATAATAAAATATATGATGATAAAAAATTTATTTACTAAATATAATGGTAAAATTGACGTATGATATAAAAATAAACTAATTTTTCTTTTTGAATGAAAATTTTACAATTTGATAAGTTTAGAAAAAAAATGATGTTTTGTATAAATATTATAGCAAATATGAGGAAAATCCAATTTAAAATATAAGATATATTTTTTAGTTAATTTATTAAATTGAATTTATTTTTTATGAAATATTTGAATCATCAGAAAATTGAGATCAATTCTATGAAATTATTATATGCTTCAGAATATTGAGCATTTTTTTAAGAAATAATTGTGAGATTGTAAGATATAAACAATTGTAAAATTGTGAGAAAATAAAGATTTCTGAAAAGTAAAAATATGTAAAGTATTCAAAGAAAAAATCTATCCAAAATAAAGTCCCCAGCGTCGGAATTTTTGATTTTTTAAAATAAATCTTTTTAAAATCAAAAAATATGGCCAATTTTTCAAATTTTAACTCAGGTTGAAAAGATTAGCTGAGTGATTATTTATGAAATTATCTCTACTTTTAGCAAGATATACAATAATTTAAATATATTATATAATGATATTATTAATTTTATGAATATTTAATAAAAAAAATTAAAATTTATAATGATATATTTCGCAAAATATGTATTTTCGTTGTCACTTTTTGAATACTACAAAATTGAATGAATACCTTAATAAGGCCTGTTCACACAAACATAATCTTTCAGAATTTTGATTCTAACTTTGAATGATTTCATATGGTGATGCTATTGTCTCCATTCTTTTGTTCTTGGCATTGAAAATTGTTTAAAATAGAAATAAAAAGAACAGAATACATAGAATAAATAATTATCAGCAATATACAGACAATGTTCCAAATAATCATATAAATTTATATTGAAAAGTACCTAAAGAAACAATCTTCAACTTTTCCTCTGCTTTTCATCAAATTGAATACGTTCTCAATTTCCGTGCTAATTACTTCGAAGTAATTATTCTTTCCAATTTTAAACTTTTGCAATTGTAGTCAAAATTGTTTCTATTGAAAAAGCTGAAACATTCAAATCAGGTATAGTATTAGCTGCAATTTTGAACAGTGGAGGCAAAACAGAATCACACAAATAAGAGCAATTTGAATCAGAACAACAACAACATTTTGATATTATTTTCAAAGCTTTTTCAATATTTACCTGGTCGAAGTTATTCAAAATTTGAATGATGGGCTCAAAAAGTCGATTATACACAATTTTTACAGATTGATTTTCATTATTTTCTGTGAATGACAACTTAACCTGTTTGAAACCTGTTTGAAACTTAACTAATTAGTTTTTATTAAGAAGAAACAAAAATAATGAAATGAAAAAATACTTTATAATATCTAAAAATTTCAATCAAAGAAAAATTTTTTATTTCAAAAATTTGACAAAATCAAAAAATTTTTCTTGTCAAAAATATTATTTCAACTTTTGAACATCAAAATAAATAATTTGAGTTTTAATTTCATCCATAACATTTTAATTATATAATTTCTTCATTGAAAAACAAAATAATTTGTCAAAAATGATAAAAATAATTTTATAATCAAATTTTTAAAAATGTCTTGTCACTTCATTATTTTCATTTTTGTTTTTTCATAATGACAACAAAAGTTGAAATAAATACAACACATCTTTATATCAAGTTCAATAATAAAATATATGATTACGATGTGAGAGATTTCAAAGATTTGTCTTCAAAAGTTGAAAAGAACTTAGGAATCAAAAAGAATAATCAAAAATTCATTCATGCAGGAAAATCATTCACTAAGAAAGAAATTGATTCGTTATCAGACTTCGCATCGAATGGTATCACAGATGGTGTCAACATTGAAGTTATTCCATTAATCATTGGTGGTTAATAAAAACTTGTTTCAAACAAGTTGTTTGAAATTTAATTTATTATTTATTTATATATAAATATTTATGTTCTCAATCATTAAGATTTTCTGTTATGTTATAAATATAATCTAGAATATCATATTTAATTTAAATTTAACAACCACATAAAATTAAAGAAGACAAGAATTTTATTTTTTAATATTTTGTTTATTATCAAGAATGTCTGATTTACATTATCGAACATCAAACTTTTCAAATAATTCTTGATCTTCTTTGTTTTGAAAAACAAGAAATTAGTAAGAATTATATTCCATTTTTTTCAGATGTCTTCTAAAATCCAGGAACTCAAAAACTTTTCATTCAACTTTCAGGCAAAGAGTCAACCATTTAATACGTCATCTCCAATATCAAAATCCTCCAATTCAGCCAATTATTGAATATCATTGATGGTGTCATCAACAATATCAAATCCATCAATGCAACCAATTTTCTTCCTCAAAACAATTCATAAATGAAATCGACATTTGAATGCCAATTTTGATGATATCCTCAAAAGAAAGAAAGAAAAAAAAAAAAAAAAAAAAAAAGAATTTTTAAATCTTTCTGAAGAGACCATTGAATTAATAATAAGTAATTCAAAACGACAATTTGACAAATTCAGAGTATTGAAAGTGAAGATCAACTTTTTCACTTTTTGAATGAAATGGATTTGACAAATTCAGAGTATTGAAAAATGTATTCATATGTTAATTTTTCAAATGTTAAATCTAGCACAATTGAAAAATTTATTTAGATTTTTCAGATAACTGGCATTACGAGAGAGACATGATTGGCCTTTTCTTGTCTTCTGAAGAAAGAAATAAAACCAAAAGAAGAAACGACATGAAAACGATACAAAAAGTGTTAAAGTGAAATCAATGAAATTGAATATATAAACAAAGATTTTGATGGTATTTTTAATAATTTAAGGAAAAATGTAAATTTTGATGATGAATTGAAAATTAAAAAAGATAAAAAAAAAAAAAAAAAAAAAAAAAAAAATTAAGTTTCAAACAGTTTTTTATTAGCCACCAATAATTAATGGAATAACTTCAATGTTGACACCATCTGTGATACCATTCGATGCGAAGTCTGATAACGAATCAATTTCTTTCTTAGTGAATGATTTTCCTGCATGAATGAATTTTTGATTATTCTTTTTGATTCCTAAGTTCTTTTCAACTTTTGAAGACAAATCTTTGAAATCTCTCACATCGTAATCATATATTTTATTATTGAACTTGATATAAAGATGTGTTGTATCTATTTCAACTTTTGTTGTCATTAAGAAGAAAAAAAAATGAAAATAATGAAATAATGAAGTAACAATAAAATTTTAAAATTTGATTATAAAATTATTTTTATCATTTTTGACAAATTATTTTATTTTCAATGAAGAAATTATATAATTAAAATGTTATTGGTGATTTTAAAACTCAAATTATTTATTTTGATGTTCAAAAGTTGAAATAATATTTTTGACAAGGAAAATTTTTTGATTTTGTCAAATTTTTGAAATAAAAAATTTTTCTTTGATTGAAATTTTTTAGATATTTTAAAGTATTTTTTCATTTCATTATTTTTGTTTCTTCTTAATGACAACAAAAGTTGAAATAAATACAACACATCTTTATATCAAGTTCAATAATAAAATATATGATTACGATGTGAGAGATTTCAAAGATTTGTCTTCAAAAGTTGAAAAGAACTTAGGAATCAAAAAGAATAATCAAAAATTCATTCATGCAGGAAAATCATTCACTAAGAAAGAAATTGATTCGTTATCAGACTTCGCATCGAATGGTATCACAGATGGTGTCAACATTGAAGTTATTCCATTAATTATTGGTGGCTAATAAAAAACTGTTTGAAAATTGATTTCATATATTCTTTTTATTTTATTGAAATATTTAATGTCTAAATCTTCATTTAAATATTTAAATCGATTTAGATATTTAATTGTTTAAACATAAAAACTATCTTTGATCCTATTGTAAAATGAGATGAGTATTTCGGATTTTCACTAAAAAATAAATTTTCATCAATTAAGATGATTACTCTAAATTATCTGAATTTGAAGGAACTTTTGAAGAATAATTAAACGAAATTAAGAAAGTATCAAAATTATTAATATTTTTTGGTTTATGATTTTGTTGGCAATTGGAAGTGCTTTACTTTTTAAATTAATTGAAAGAAAAGTCAATTTATATTGCTGGTTAGTTGAATGTTTATATAATGGAATTGTTTTTAAAATACAAAAAGCTGTTATCTTTTACAAATTTACCGCCGATAAAAGCAGTATTAAATCTATGTCCAAGTATGGGTTAATGTTATTTGAAGGAGATGAAATTGAAATTAATTTGAATGAACCTGTCCCAATTTTAAAAAGAAGCAGATTTATGTAGTATATCTTCCATGTATAATTACGTACTTATGTCTATTTAAGTTAAATATTGCGAAATGATATGAGGTTGTTTGGCTGAGTGGTCTAAAGCGTCAGACTCAGATTCTGATCCGTAAGGGCGTGGGTTCGAACCCCACAACAACCATTTTTTGCTTTTATTTTTATAAAAATCATATTAAAACTCAGTTTGGAATTGGTTATTCAATTTCAAATTCAGATAAATAACAATACTTTACTCTATTAATAACATCATCAACTGAGACCCTGGCATTTGATATTAGACTGAATAGCATTGGATATTGAATCCAATAGAATATATAATAGATGTCATTAAAATATTTTAAAATGTTTGTAATTTGATAAATGGAAAGAATTAAATGAATTTTTTTCTCTGGTTAACTGAAAGGATTTTTTCTTTGAGATAACAAAAAGGACTTAATTTGAATTGATAATTATCGTCTTTTCTTATAAAAATTTCATGACAACTAATATAGAAAACAATAAAAATAAATACATTTTATTATGAACGTAAATGATACTATATTCTTACCAGAAAATATAGAAAAGGCAGTTTCGCATTTAAATGGCGGTAGCTCTAATCAATCTGGTGCATTTTATAAGTGAGTGGAGTTCACAGCCATCATCAATATTCAATGCTTTGCATTTATTACAAAATTCAAGTAATTTGATTCTAAGTTTTATTTCATCAACGGTTATTAAAAATTAAATAGCAAGCTATTGGCAACAGATGGACAATAATCAGAAAACAGAATATTTTGGAACTCTCTTAACTATTGTAAGCGCGACAGCAGATCTTAATGATAATATATCATATAATCTAATTATAGCAATTTGCAATATTGCACTATTTGAATGGCCCGAAATTTTAAGCGTATTTTCTAAAATATTTACCACTCAAGATGATGAGAAGTTAATCGAAATGTCTATAAAGATATTAAGATCATTTCTCAATGAAATTGATAATTCAGAAGAAATTACTGATTTCCATATAAGTAATTTGCGTAGGCATATCATTGACAATTATTCAGATCAAATTTCTTTAATAATCAAAAATCTAATTTTAATCCCTCATCTTTCAGCAGATATAATGGATATTTATTCTAATATACTTTCTTGGGATTTTAAAAATGATTTAATGAATATCGAATTATTCAAGATTATTGTCTATCAATTTTTATTTAATGATGAAACTTTTGAAATTTTAGTCAAATTATTGAATAGTCTATTCAATTATGAAATTAGATGTAATAATTTGTGATCAGATATGCCTACGTAAATTACTTATATGGAAATCAGTAATTTCTTCTGAATTATCATTTTCATTGAGAAATGATCTTAATATCTTTATAGACATTTCGATTGACTTCTCATCATCTTGAGTGGTAAATATTTTAGAAAATACGCTTAAAATTTCGGGCCATTCAAATAGTGCAATATTGCAAATTGCTATAATTAGATTATATGACATATTATTATTAAGATCTGCTATCGCGCTTACAATAGTTAAGAGAGTTCCAAAATATTCTGTTTTCTGATTATTGTCCATCTGTTGCCAATAGCTTGCTATTTAATTTTTAATAACCGTTGATGAAATAAAACTTAGAATCAAATTACTTGAATTTTGTAATAAATGCAAAGCATTGAATATTGATGATGGCTGTGAACTCCACTCACTTATAAAATGCACCAGATTGATTAGAGCTACCGCCATTTAAATGCGAAACTGCCTTTTCTATATTTTCTGGTAAGAATATAGTATCATTTACGTTCATAATAAAATGTATTTATTTTTATTGTTTTCTATATTAGTTGTCATAAAATTTTTATAAGAAAAGACGATAATTATCAATTCAAATTAAGTCCTTTTTGTTATCTCAAAGAAAAAATCCTTTCAGTTAACCAGAGAAAAAAATTCATTTAATTCTTTCCATTTATCAAATTAAAAACATTTTAAATTATTTTAATGTCATCAATTATATATTCTATTGGATTCAATATCCAATGCTATCCAGTCTAAATATCAAATGCCAGGGTCTCAGTTGATGATGTTATTAATAGTGTAAAGTATTGTTATTTATCTGAATTTGAAATTGAATAACCAATTCCAAACTGAGTTTTAATATGATTTTTATAAAAATAAAAGCAAAAAATGGTTGTTGTGGGGTTCGAACCCACGCCCTTACGGATCAGAATCTGAGTCTGACGCTTTAGACCACTCAGCCAAACAACCTCATATCATTTCGCAATATTTAACTTAAATAGGCATAAGTACGTAATTATACATGGAAGATATACTACATAAATCTGCTTCTTTTTAAAATTGGGACAGGTTCATTCAAATTAATTTCAATTTCATCTCCTTCAAATAACATTAACCCATACTTGGACATAGATTTAATACTGCTTTTATCGGCGGTAAATTTGTAAAAGATAACAGCTTTTTGTATTTTAAAAACAATTCCATTATATAAACATTCAACTAACCAGCAATATAAATTGACTTTTCTTTCAATTAATTTAAAAAGTAAAGCACTTCCAATTGCCAACAAAATCATAAACCAAAAAATATTAATAATTTTGATACTTTCTTAATTTCGTTTAATTATTCTTCAAAAGTTCCTTCAAATTCAGATAATTTAGAGTAATCATCTTAATTGATGAAAATTTATTTTTTAGTGAAAATCCGAAATACTCATCTCATTTTACAATAGGATCAAAGATAGTTTTTATGTTTAAACAATTAAATATCTAAATCGATTTAAATATTTAAATGAAGATTTAGACATTAAATATTTCAATAAAATAAAAAGAATATATGAAATCAATTTTCAAACAGTTTTTTATTAGCCACCAATAATTAATGGAATAACTTCAATGTTGACACCATCTGTGATACCATTCGATGCGAAGTCTGATAACGAATCAATTTCTTTCTTAGTGAATGATTTTCCTGCATGAATGAATTTTTGATTATTCTTTTTGATTCCTAAGTTCTTTTCAACTTTTGAAGACAAATCTTTGAAATCTCTCACATCGTAATCATATATTTTATTATTGAACTTGATATAAAGATGTGTTGTATTTATTTCAACTTTTGTTGTCATTAAGAAGAAACAAAAATAATGAAATGAAAAAATACTTTAAAATATCTAAAAAATTTCAATCAAAGAAAAATTTTTTATTTCAAAAATTTGACAAAATCAAAAAAATTTTCTTGTCAAAAATATTATTTCAACTTTTGAACATCAAAATAAATAATCTGGGTTTTAATTTCACCAATAACATTTTAATTATATAATTTCTTCATTGAAAATAAAATAATTGGTCAAAAATGATAAAAATAATTTTATAATCAAATTTTAAAATTTTATTTTCACTTCATTATTTTCATTTTTGTTTCTTCTTAATGACAACAAAAGTTGAAATAAATACAACACATCTTTATATCAAGTTCAATAATAAAATATATGATTACGATGTGAGAGATTTCAAAGATTTGTCTTCAAAAGTTGAAAAGAACTTAGGAATCAAAAAGAATAATCAAAAACTCATTCATGCAGGAAAATCATTCACTAAGAAAGAAATTGATTCGTTATCAGACTTCGCATCGAATGGTATCACAGATGGTGTCAACATTGAAGTTATTCCATTAATTATTGGCGGTTAATAAAAAACTGTTTGAAAATTGATTTCATATATTCTTTTTATTTTATTGAAATATTTAATGTCTAAATCTTCATTTAAATATTTAAATCGATTTAGATATTTAATTGTTTAAACGTAAAAACTATCTTTGATCCTATTGTAAAATGAGATGAGTATTTCGGATTTTCACTAAAAAATAAATTGTCACCAATTAAGATGATTACTCTAAATTATCAAAGATTTGAAGGAACTTTTGAAGAATAATTAAACGAAATTAAGAAAGTATCAAAATTATTAATATTTTTTGGTTTATGATTTTGTTGGCAATTGGAAGTGCTTTACTTTTTAAATTAATTGAAAGAAAAGTCAATTTATATTGCTGGTTAGTTGAATGTTTATATAATGGAATTGTTTTTAAAATACAAAAAGCTGTTATCTTTTACAAATTTACCGCCGATAAAAGCAGTATTAAATCTATGTCCAAGTATGGGTTAATGTTATTTGAAGGAGATGAAATTGAAATTAATTTGAATGAACCTGTCCCAATTTTAAAAAGAAGCAGATTTATGTAGTATATCTTCCATGTATAATTACGTACTTATGCCTATTTAAGTTAAATATTGCGAAATGATATGAGGTTGTTTGGCTGAGTGGTCTAAAGCGTCAGACTCAGATTCTGATCCGTAAGGGCGTGGGTTCGAACCCCACAACAACCATTTTTTGCTTTTATTTTTATAAAAATCATATTAAAACTCAGTTTGGAATTGGTTATTCAATTTCAAATTCAGATAAATAACAATACTTTACTCTATTAATAACATCATCAACTGAGACCCTGGCATTTGATATTTAGACTGAATAGCATTGGATATTGAATCCAATAGAATATATAATAGATGTCATTAAAATATTTTAAAATGTTTGTAATTTGATAAATGGAAAGAATTAAATCAATTTTTTTCTCTGGTTAACTGAAAGGATTTTTTCTTCGAGATTATAAAAAGAACTTAATTTGAATTGATAATTATCGTCTTTTCTTATAAAAATTTTATGACAACTAATATAGAAAACAATAAAAATAAATACATTTTATTATGAACGTAAATGATACTATATTCTTACCAGAAAATATAGAAAAGGCAGTTTCGCATTTAAATGGCGGTAGCTCTAATCAATCTGGTGCATTTTATAAGTGAGTGGAGTTCACAGCCATCATCAATATTCAATGCTTTGCATTTATTACAAAATTCAAGTAATTTGATTCTAAGTTTTATTTCATCAACGGTTATTAAAAATTAAATAGCAAGCTATTGGCAACAGATGGACAATAATCAGAAAACAGAATATTTTGGAACTCTCTTAACTATTGTAAGCGCGATAGCAGATCTTAATAATAATATGTCATATAATCTAATTATAGCAATTTGCAATATTGCACTATTTGAAATAGTCTTTTATTAGCCACCAATAATTAATGGA